TAATTCACCAGATCTTAGATGCAGAGTGAAGGAAGTCCTCCCGGATCTCCCTTCTGCTGTGCCATATGATGTGTCAGAGCCGAGGAGGAGGAGGATAGGACTTGCTGATCTTATTTGAGGTTTGAGAGGAGGCAGGCCGGGTCAGGAGCTGGCAGCATGGTGGGGTCATGATCTACCTGCCACATGGCTGTGATTGACAGGTAGATTGGAGAGGATTGGTTGCCAACCTCTGCCATAAAGGTTTGCAAGCACAATCCATTGTGGTTAAAATCCCCAAAGATACCTAACATTCTAAGTCGGGGGTAGCCAAACTCCGGCCCTCCAGCTATGGCTGTACTACAAATCCCATGAGGCATTGTAAGATTCTCACAGCCACAGATATGACTCCCAGAGAGGGATGCATCATGGGATTTGTAGTTTTATCACCTCTGGAGGGCAGGAGTTTGGCTACCCCTGTTCTAAGTGCCCCACAGACCCACCATGGGGTACAGGTAGCACTGGGTGAGAACCATTCCTTTAGGGATACAGTGACATGACCGCTCAGTATCACAGAAGAGCTGTATACAGGTGCAGCAGCTAGAAGCCAGTCAGTACAGTCAGCACTCCGGTGTTAAGCTGGTTCACAGCAGCAATTTATTAGTTGCTAATGGAACTACAAGAATCTTCTACTGACGATGGAAGCAGAAACCACAGAGTGCATCCCACCAAGATCTGCAGCTGGCCTATCAGAGGACTGGATCCATGTAGGTAAATGCTGTTTCTTTTATTTGTGGGGGGGGGGTCTGGTACATAAGCATTTCATGCAGGGCCGCTTTAACCCCTTCATGACTGAGCTAGTTTTCAGTTTCTGTTCATAAATGACTGACACGCTTTTTACATTTTTGCTGTGTGATTCTTCCTCAGCAGTAATATACTTTCTTACTAAATGTACCCACTCATATGATACATTGTTTTTTAGAGGACAGATAGGGCGATATCATTATATCAAACATGTGTACCTAACGCCTCACTTAGTTTTGAATAAAATATTAAAAAAATGAGGAAAAAAACTAGAAGAAAACACTTTTTAAATACTTTTTTTTTGGTCAGTTTATATCAGTCACTATGACTGCTTAAAAGAATAACTTTTTTTAAAAAAAAATTATTTTTGGCTATTATTAGGCTGCTCCAAACTTAGGAACAGCTAATAATAACCTTAGAGACTGATCCTGACAGCATGTCAGAATCAGATCTCACTAAAAGGTCTTTGATCGGCCCAGAAGATCAGAAGTCTGATACATTTCACTCAAAGAGATACATTGTATCTCTTTGGTGAAATGTATCATAAACATCGGGCTATCGAAACGAATAGCAGAGAGGTGACTCACTGCTGCCTCCCTGCTATTTTCAGCTGTCAAATACCAGATCGCTATTTAGCGGTCCCGTATCTGCATGTAACGGCTTCATTCTTTCATTAATGAAAGGAAGAAGCTTTTACAAAAGCTTGACTATTTCATTAATGAATGCCTCAATACTGAAGCATTCATTAATGACTGGTAACCGCTGAGAATCAGCTGTTTCCAGCATTACAAAGCCTGATATAACTCGTCACGTACAGTGTACGTGGCCAGTCATATAGGCACTTCGTGACGGGACGTACAGTGTACGTGGGCAGTCATAGTCATATAGGCACTTCGTGACGGGACGTACAGTGTACGTGGCCAGTCATATACGCACTTCGTGACGGGACGTACAGTGTACGTCTCCCGTCACGAAGGGGTTCATGGGGAGTTCTTCTAGAACAATTTCTTGCTAGAGGTTTTTATTATGAAAGCTGATGTCACACTAGTGACAGGTTAGAGATCCAGTGGCAGGATCACCGTGGGGGACACATACAGGCACCTGCTTGCCCTTGTCTCTCCCTGCAGGCTGGATGAGCAAGGTGCCGCTTTCTCACCACCAACTTACATTACAAATTGAAGCTGGCAAGGCCGAGCGTCACATCTAACAATCCTGTCACTGTTGGATTCTTTGCATCACAAGTGTGACCTCAGCATTCATGCATCACATGTGTGACATCAGCATTAATGCATCACATGTGTGACATCAGCATTAATGCATCACATGTGTGACATCAGCATTAATGCATAACATGTGTGACATCAGCATTAATAGATCGCATGTGTGACATCAGCATTAATACATCGTATGTGTGACATCAGCATTAATACATCGCATGTGTGACATCAGCATTAATACATCGTATGTGTGACATCAGTATTAATACATCGCATGTGTGACATCAGCATTAATACATCGCATGTGTGACATCAGCATTAATACATCGTATGTGTGACATCAGTATTAATACATCGCATGTGTGACATCAGCATTAATACATCGCATGTGTGACATCAGCATTAATACATCG